ATTGACAGATAGCAACTTTCATTTTTAATTTAGAAATAAATACTAAGAACTCAAATAATTTAGATACAAATTGCTTAAAAAATCATCAAAATCGGTCCACTAGAACACAATACATAAAGCTTTAAAATACTTGAAAATTCAAAGGTGCCGGTGAATTTATATTTTTTTATGTTTACTATGACGGTATTCCTATTTCCCTCGGCTATCAACGGGGCTATTTTTTAAAAATATGGATCGATCGGGGGGCCAAAACTCCATAAAGCAACCGGGAGGGTGGACCAAATCGAGAGATGGGTAGGCTAAGTGATTAATAGGCTTTACTTTACGTCGAGATTACCGCGCTACACCGATCCAGGCAGCGCAACGAGTCCGGTCAGGCGATTTATTATGCCCAGATATTAACAGGGCAAATTTAATTCTAACTCGTGTCGCTTTACGATTTTAGTGAGGCTAAGTGAAAACAAACAGGCAATTAATTGCAAGTATTTTTAATCGGTGCTACATCTAAGTACAAGAAATATAAATTCTTAGCATTTTTTTGTTCTTTAAGTCATTTTTTTTATTAGTTAAATATCACTGACAAATTAGTCTCCAAGGCGACAAAAAGTAAACACGTTTTTGAGAGAAAAACTAGGCAAACTTGGGACAAAAAATGGGGAATTCTGACAAGACAAACTTGAGACAAATTGTCCACACCGCAAGGACAAAAGTACAACAAAGTCAAAAGTTTAGTTGTTGCGAATGAGTTTTATTAACCATGTGTGATTTCACTGGTCTCCTACTGTTGGCAGCACACGCCATCCACACTGCGCCGACAATTTGTCGTAAAATATACGAACAAAACATCGACACTTTGATCTTTACCGACTCGAGACGGGACATTGAAAAGTCTCCGAATTTGGAAACAAAACAAAATGAGAAATGTCGCAGAAATGTATTGGATTTGTCGCAATTTTGTCGTAAAATATGAATTTCTGTCTTGTCGTTGTTTTGTCTGCTTGGTCTGGACCCGGCATTAGAGTCGATCCAGATTTGAAGACGTTTAAATTTTATAGTTTTTGGCTATTCGCCTGATCTTTTCTGTCGTTCCTCTTACATATATGGAATAGTAAAGAGAGGAATAGGAATAGGGAATAGTAGATGAATCATTTTGTGAGTTCGGATGATTGAGGAAGCAATCCAATGATGAATTATTTACTGACAAGTTTAGGGATTCAACGCAGTTGTATTACAAATAATAACTTTTATTTGTTAATTTTCTTCCTGTGACGAAAAGTCACATTTACATTGTGATTCACGCTGATATAAAGGAGTTTTTTTACCAAAAAATTAATACTACTTGCTACATAGCCACTAGTTTTCGTGTTTAGCTATAAATCGGTGCTAGGTCGTTAGGGCAAAAAATATTTGCGATTTCTATTGGTCTCCCGGGTTGGCTCGACAGCGAATGATGGCCACCGTTAGGCCCTTTACGACTCGCTTTTTCGGTGAAAAACCGCGGAAAATACCGTTACTGCCGCGAGTTATGCTAATTTTCTCGCATTACCATATCGCACAGATAAGGTTTCGCTAGTTTTCAAATAGATGAATTTTCATTCAAATTGCTTCTTGGCAAATGTAGTACACTTGACATAAGAAGATTGATCGAAGTTCAGCAATGAACTGAAATAATGTGTCACTATGTCCAATTTTATATACAGGGTGAGTCGTAAATAAGTGAAAATATTTTCAGGGCTGTTAGATCTCGATAAAAAAACATCTCTTCTCTTTGCCGTTTTTCAATTAAGTCCGAAATAGCGAGTTATTTTACTTTGAAAATATACTAAGGGCTGGCAAAGGTTAGTTTTGGGTCGAATGCATTTATAAATAATGTACTGAACAAATAGACAACAGTAAAAACGTTGCCAAACGTATGAAATAAACCGGGAATCTGTGCACATTGCTAAGTAATATATGTATTAAACAGAAAATTCGCACATAAAGCAGGTGTACGGCTGTTAAAAGTGCAAGTTAGAAACACTTGCACTTTTGGTAAAAATAAGAGGGATTGAGTTGGTGTTTGACAGCGGTCGCGCTATTAGAACTCCAAATTCAAAAATCGATATCTCGAAATCCATTAGAATTGATTGTAGTTTTTTTTCTTAATATTTGTGCTATATTTGCTTCGCAGACAGTATGTGAAAATCTTTACAAATAAAAAAGTTACACGATTGCTGTAAAATTGCTATGCACTAAAAGTAAATGGGCGTTTTTTTTTAAATTTTTTAAATTATCGTTATAATTCCATTTCAAATGCTCAGAAACATATCTAATGATTTTATCTAGTTATCTTTTCGAAAAAAAAAGTCTTAAAAATAAGCGGTTTGCGATCGTGGTTTTACTTTACTTGATAGGGAAAGGCGTACCGGAGAAATGTGGCAACGCCGCGACAGCACACCGTCGCATTTCTCTTACTCCGACTTAATAAGATCCCTATTCAATTTACTTCCACGCATGTAAATACCGACCCAAAAGTAAGAGTTGCCAGCACGGTATAAAAAAAATCTCGGGAATCACTTATTTTTATTTAAGATTCGCCCACTGAAGTTTAGTGCACTATATTTTTTATACCCTGTATATAGTGTCGTACTATACTGCATGGTATATCGCTAAAAATTAAGTTTATTATATTCAAAAGCTTTATCGTCAGCTTCTCGGTGTTGCCATAAACGTTCTAAGCAGAATATTTTATTTTATATAGCACCTACGGTTTTTTATGATCTTCCATTTTTTATTTGACGCTCCTCGTGAGACGTTTAATGGAAAAAAATAAGAGCCAGCTCCTTTAATGGAGGACGAGGGTTAAAAAAGGCACTTAAAACGCCCTCAGACTTAAAGGGAGATAATATCGCCCTACTTATGAAGAGTATATATATCTTATATCAACACTCTTGTTCGTTATATTAATTTTTTAATTGTTTTTAGGATATTTGGTTTCCCGTGTTCGTATGAACGGAAAAAATCGGCGTCCAGGTGGCCTGGAAAATGACGATTGATGACATTCCCGGTATAATTTTACATATAAAATGACAGCGATCTTCATTTCATAGCCATCGCTGACGCAGGTTTATTTCGATCATATTGTACTTATCACATTATTCGTTTTTTGATTTTTTAACAATAGGTACCTTTTAGAAACCCGCCAATATATTTGAGGGAAATATCTATATTTCCCAGATGCTGAAAACATCTGAAAATCTTCGAAAAATCTAACATAAATTATATCAGGTCCGACAGGGAAGGATTTATGAATAATATATGACTTCCTAACAGCGAATCTTATTCTAAACATATTAAATTCGATATAAAACGTTCTTTTAAAAGTATAACAAAAGAAACTTCGAGCTAAATTTATATCCTGAAGCTTAGGAATAATAATAGTGTGAAAAAAACTAAAAGTTAAAAATTCTGATTTAGTATTAGGATCACATAAAACAAAAGAGATAAATATTTTACCTCCTTGGTCTTATTTGTTCCTGAGAAAAATTGAGATTTTCGTACAAAATAAATAATTTTTAAGCAAGTTTAGTTAAAAGTTAAAAATTCTGTTTTTGTATTAGATTACATAAAAGCGAAGAGATAAATGCTTTATTTCTTTGGAGATATAATATGCTCCTGATATAAATATTTATATACAAACGATAACTTTTTAATCAAGATTATCTAAAAGTTAATAATTTTGTTTTTATATTAGGATCATATAAGAGTGAGGAGGTAAATTATTTTTCTTTATTTTTCTATTATAAGGGGTAAAATAAAAAGAGTTAATGAAGTTACAAATTTTTATTTATTGAAACACAATATTCTTATAACAATACATAATAAGTATTACAAAATATTATAATAGTTAGCATGAATGTGTAGGTTTTGAAGTATATATCTCGCAGTACATTAATGGCTGATGGCTTCTAAATCTGTAACAAAGAAAATACACTGGATTAGAAATCTATACAAACCAATCTTTTTATAGCTTAAAAAACTAAAATAAAATTAATAAAACCAACTGGACCCCGTTTTTTCGATTATAGGGTAGTTTATATCGAAAATATTGTTAGAGGAGAAATTTTATATATACAGGTGGTTAAATATTTGTTGCCGGACTTTAATGCTCAATGAAACGAAAACATATATTTTGGGAAGATAATTTTAAGTCAAAATAACATATACGTTTTGACTGTACAGATAAATGTTACGTGTAGATGAAGCTTAACGCAGTGACTTTCTACAAAAAAATATAAATTCTTATTTTTAGACTTCTGTTTCAGAAAAGCTGAAACTACTGATAAAACTAGATCATTATGGTGTATAAAAAAAGAAATAATACGATTTTTATAGGTACTTTTAATCTTAGCAAAATATAAAGAAAAAAAAAATGGCGAATAAAAATTACTCCCTTTATAGCCCGGGGATTGTAGAGAGCACGGGTTGTTTATGACAAGTCGTTAGTGTGTTATCTGTATTAGAGCGATATATTTGGAGGACAACGCCAATCGATCACGGCTTACGGTACCATTAAACTTGATGGCTTTTTTTCGATTTCAGAGGTGCTAGAACGAATTACGTTCATTTAAGGAGGAAGCTCTTATTTGTTGGTAGAATAAACGTTGAAAAATAATGTATATACCTTTTTGGCGGGTTCATTTCTTTAAAAAATTCCGTCTTTTTCACCACTGCAAAAGAAATTCGCAAAATGAAAAAGGTTTTTATTATAAAATAAAAGGATTTAAAATAAAACTTTCGTAATGATATAAATTGTACAATAAAAAGTATGGAACTGATACGGAACGGAAGCTTACGTATAGCGTCAATACAATACAATACAAACGGAAGATATAGTGAGAACATTTTAGTGTATAACCTTATCTCATTAATTTATTTTATAGAGTTAGTGTAACTGTAAAGTATCTATTTTATTTTCTAGTAAAGAAAATAATAATAATTTTCTCTTTTATTTGTTTCAGACAAATTACAGCAGGCACTTGGAAGAGATAGCCAGGGAAGCTCAAAAGCAAACATTGGCAGCTGTTCAACACCTTCTAATTGATGAAAAAGTCACAAAAGCTTCGCAATTACTCGAATTTTGGGAAGAATACTTGTCAATTAATGGTGAGTAACATTGAGCTTGACGTGTTGACAATATTTTTATCCACATATATATCCAAATCGCAAATAGTTTTATAAATTTAGAGAATATTTACAAGAAAAAAATGTGTGCATTGATACATTTTTAAAGCAATAACACAATGTATTAGCAAAGTTTACAGAATTAAAAGTTAGTCTTATCTTTAATTCATATCTATGTTCTCAGTATATACTGCCCTTTATAAGTCAAAATTACTATTTATTTTTCAAATTCACAAGCGTATGCCAGGGTTGTCGGTTTTCGCGGAAAAATATTCTCCATAATCCGCATTCAGAATTGGAGATCACGTAAATATGAAGTTCATATTTCAATATTAATATGGACGGCCGATTTCACAGCAACATTCATTATGAACTAAACGTATTAATATTTAATTTAGTATTGACAGCAGATACATGTATATGCTTCTATTTATATGCTTCTAAATATAGTTTGTATGTTTCTTTAAAATTTGTTACTTTTTACCAGGGTAGCGCGAAAACTTTAACTAACAATGATACATTTATTTCATCTTCATTTCTTCAGAATCTAAGACAAATACCATGGACGAAGAAGTTCAGTTCTTCTTGAACAAAACTACCAAACTGGAGAAACTACTGAAAGAATTATATATGAAGTGCAACAGTTCTAGTGAGGGAGCTGATATTCTACAGTTACTGGAAAGGTGTACTAAAATATTCAACACTGTGAACAATGACAAGTCTCTTAGTGCAGGTGGAAGATTTGAATGGGTCAACTCAATTTTAGTCAAGGTAAATAATAATATTTCATATATTTCCTAAAGCTCCGCCCACATATAACATCTTACCTGTTCAGTCAGAGTGTCTTTTCATTTTCTATGGAATAAAGTAAACAAATACCGAGGGTGCCATTTAAAAATCAAAATTTGTAGTCATTTCCGGTGACTACAACTTTTGGTGGTGGGCTACTTTTGGGACGCACCCGGTATATGAAACAATTATAAAACATCCAGTTACGATCCGTTCTGTATCAGCTACCGTGCATATTCGATTGTCAATAAACATTTTGATTCTGTTCACAACATAATGTCTATAAAAGACAAAAACCGTTTTTCGCTAAAACAATTTTGCTCTCTCTCTATGTGTCCAGGCTAAAACTAAACAATATTGAGGTCAGAGAGGAAATTTAAGTCATTAGATAGAGCGTTGATCCTTAGAGCGAAGTTGTAACCGTAAAATAGAGATACACTTGTGTCGTACAGGCGACATTGTATTGAAACTATTACAGTCAACTCCAAGCGAAATCTTCCTGTGTGTCGTATATTTTACTGTTCGCCAGAATAACTGCATGGATGCAGCGCGATATCGCCAATCTCTGCAGCAATGCACTTTTGCAAGCGCCAAAACTTCTTACGATTACTATACACAGTGTCCCAATATTCTATGGATATAAAAATACTTTTGAACCATAATAATTGGACACAATACTCCTCTACACAAAAGTGCTTCGTCTGTCCGGTAGAAAGTAGATTGTATGGGAGGGGGTAAGTTAATCACCGGGTCCTTATAGATTCACTTTGTTCCCCTTTCTTGAGTTGTAACTGATCATATAGATCACCAACAGAACGCTTCTGGTCGAGTTAGTGGAGTGTTCGAAATTTGAGGTAATTTTTTATTATTTTAATTTCAGTGTTTGCAAGAAGGCGATTGGCTGCTCGTTGATAACGTAAACCTATGCAGTGCGGCTGTTCTGGACAGACTGAATTCTCTGTTAGAGCCCAGAGGCGTACTAACGGTTTCGGAAAGGGGCACAGACGATAATGGGTCCTTGTACGAGGTCAGGCCTCACAAGGATTTCAGGATATTTTTCACTATGGACCCGAAAAATGGAGAAATTTCCAGGTATGTAATTCAAAGTATACAATGCAACCATTATACAGGGCGCCTTTTTTAGTCCGACCGCAGAAATAAGTCCATGATTTTTTTTGCAAAAAAATTGTTGAAAATTTTACATTTTTCCCATCAACACATGGTGTCGAATAATCTGAGCGCGGCAGACTTTCAAAATACAAGAATTATCAATATTATTTTTCAAAGTTAAATAACTTGGTTATTTTCTTTTTTTAGTACAAATTTTTAAAACCGTAAATAATCCCACTTCTGAAGCTAGAAATTAGATTGTATTATTAATAATCTATCAATTTATGAAATAATGATTATGTTTATGTTAAGAGTGACAGAGTGAGATCACACCACGTGGATTGCCAGTTGATACCAGGGGTTCTCGAAATTTAAATATTATTTTTATTTCAATTTTCAAAGTTAAATGACTTAGTTGTTTTCGATGTATTTAAAAAATGGTAAATTGAAAATGTGTTTATTTTTTTTACTCAATTTTTTCTTATTTTTACTCAATATGATACCTGAGTTTTTATTCCTCTTCCAGAGCTATGAGAAACAGAGGCGTAGAAATATACATGCTGCAAGACTTTGAACCCACCGACAATCTGAATAATTTTGACCTAAAAAGTCTGATTCATCACGAAGGACTTACCAACCCTAAACATCTAAGCTTTCTGATAAAAATCCACGAATTCATTTCAACTCTGATTCTAAGCGACAAACCAACTCACTTAGATATTCTACGTTGTTCCTCATTGATCTCCAGCCAAATATCACAAGGCATATCTTTAACAGAAGCATTTTGCAGTACTTGCATCGAAATATACTACAAGACACGCTCAAGTTCAGAATTTAATTGTAACAACGTTTTGGAGGTTATTCAGGAGAGTATAAATCGATGTTTGAACGAAAATCTTGATAACCAAGACGATTTATTTAGTGAAAATGTCACTATGAGCACTAAAAATCTTCCTAGATGGTCAGAGTATGAGAAAACAAAGCACGAAGTTTCTTTGTGCGTTAAAACCTTGGAAGGATTCGATAAAAACACTAAAAATGCTGTAAAGAACATGAAAACTCGTACTGAAACCAAGACTAGTTATATACTAGGCAATACAAAGATTTTAAGTAAAAAAGATCAATTAAAAAGTGCCAAAGACCTTTCTATTTGGTCAGACCTCGAAAACACCAAGCTCCACAATCAGATTTTTGAAGAAATTAACTTTTATAAAGTCACAAACCTTCTAGTTTCGAGTTTTACACTGACCGGTAAAGATAACATAGACTACAAGACGCTGTATTTGAAGAACTTGATATCTCAACAAGAATGGCACAGTATTTTCGAAAGGTTTTCGAAAATTTCAAAGTTTTTTGACGACAAAATCGGTGCTTTACCGCTGGATTCTCGATGGATCAACACAGATCTTCAGATAAACGAGAACAGTATCTTTGAAGCAGTAAACTATTCTTTTCAAGTTGAAATTCACAAACTTAGAGACAGTTTTGAGTTAAAACACTCAGGAAAAAACTCAATATATCAGTATTTGGTAGCGTCAAAAAAGAAGACAGTTCCTGACATATTCAAGAACGCCATCTGTACGAACTATCTGACTTTACGTCAAGAGTTCCTGGTTTATATGCGTCAACTTTTTGTCGGTTTTATCAACAACAGCCAATCTGAAGAAACCTTTATAAAAATCCTGGAATTATTAACTTGGAGACAAGCCCTACATACATTTTTAACCTGTACTGGTATTCCAGAGTCTGGAATTAAAGATCCTAGGTCACTATCTGGCAAAATGGATTCTTTAAATTTGTACTACAGGTGGTTTTACAAGTATTCTGTCAAAGAAGTGTCAAACTCGTTAGGGATGTCTGTTACAGATACTTTAAACGATATTTTTTCGGTTATTAATGAAGAGATTGATCAAAATTTCACAGTGTGTCACAAAATATCGAGAAACTTTAAGAAATTCAACGATATTCCTGATTGTTTGAAACACGAATGGCAATTGACAGCCATACAGATTCTTGACAGTTATACTGATTCTGATCATGTAAATATTCTAAGTTATTTTATAAATAATAACAGCCAAAGAGAGGAATTGATGAAACTTAAAAAAGAAGTTTATTTAGGTGAAGAAAAATCGGATTTAACTAATTTAAAAGCGTTCGATGTAAAGGAAAAATCTGTTTTAAATTTATACGAAATGCAAATGATTCCATTAGCGGACTGTCTAGTACAAATAGCCTTGCTGAGAGTGATTCAGGGTGATAGTTTCCAGTGTAATAACGTCTTAGTGCCAATCGATTTGAATGCACTTTTGCTTATTTATAATGAAACTGGCGATAGAAGGCTGATTCACGAAGTAAGGAGGAGTTTTTACAGCAACGCCTTGCAGTCAGCTTCAGTGAAGTACGGGAAGTTTTTTAATGAGGATGAAGCAAAAAATGTGTTTCTTTCAGTGGCTGGAATTTGTCCAACGCTTTTATATCTACATAACAAATTATTTGTCAGATTGAATGAAGATCCTGTTACGTTGTATAACTACAAAGATGTTCAGTATCAGCGTAGATACTTTAGTTGTCTCATTTGGAAAAATATATATGGTTTTTCGGATGTTCAGAATGATTTTGTGTAAGTGTATACTACGTAATTTTTTTATACCTACAAGGTAGTTCACATTTTAGTAGCAGGACCAGTAGCTTTCGAAAAATGTAACATTCTCTATACTATTTTCATAAACAAGGTAAAGAATGCATTATTTAACTTTTTAACATAGGAATAATTTAGTCTACGTCAAATTTTGATTATCGGCTATTCCACGTTAGTTTCTTAAAATGAAATTATTGCACAAATGCATCAAAAATGACAGCGTGTTACCTAAAAGCTGTACAAGCTCATTTTCAGTGCAGTTTATTAAGGTAACATGATGGAAAGCAAAATTTTCTAGTTAAATTAAATAAAATAAAATAATAGTACTCTTTTAAGCTAGTTTTATTTATATTGAAAAGTTAAAAAATAAATATGTTTTTCTTGTTTATGAAAATAAGTATAGAGTATAATATATTTCATAACAAGGCAAATAAATAAAAAAAATATCACAAGTCCCTGCTACTAAAAATTGGCTCACCCTGTATAATTATAATAACAAAATATATATTTCTAAAAGGTCCTTACAACAACAGTTACTTCAAGATGCCACCAGAAGCTTTTTTCACAAATTAAAACATGCATTAAGTATAAATACACATGAACAAAATATTACAGAAATCATATCACAGATTTCTGACAAAAATCTTCAAGAACACTCGAGACAAATATCAAATACATATAATCAACTGACTCCGGATGAATCAGATGACGTGAACATATGTCATATTGCTGATTTACATGTCCTACTTGGATTTACTGAAGCCTACCTCAATTCAATGCTACCAAATGTAGACCCTGTAGCGAAAAAAGCAATGAAGAAGAATCATATACATTCCATTATTAATATGCTAAACCAAATGGGTCAGAGTTTCGAACTGCAAAACTCCCTCATCAGCAACTATAAAGAGTGTATTCATCCATACTACAAAGCTATAAAAAACCGTGTCAAAGAATTAGAACAGAAATGCGAAAAATATGGTGAAAATGTCACTTCTGGTGTTAAACTCTATCCTTACAGTTATGTTATACAAGTAAGATTTTTTTTTAATTTCTCTTATGATTTTTTTATTACGACTTCTAGTAAATATTTATTTTTTTCAAACGTCACAAAATTTTTAATTTTTGCAACGTAATTGACAATATAAAAATGTAATTTTAACGCCTAAGCATAAAAGTGAAGTACTTTTACGCCTAAGCACAAAAGTACGAAAATATATTATTAAACTGACATAAAGTTTCAAATTGAACGAGCGTAACCATAGTTTATCGATATATACATGATTACTTACAAGAAATTACTTTTAAATCTTTTTATATAATTTGCAACGTTTGAAATCGTTTAAAAAAATATGTGTGAACGTTTGAAAAAAAAATAGCATGTTCAATTCAGAGTAAAAATGTACTTTTTGTGCCTCACCTGTAACGTCAAACGTACAGCTTCGCCACAAAAAGTGTCATTTTTACTCCTAACAAAACAATATACTATTCTTTTTAGCAAATAAAACATGCCTTCAACAGTGTTATAAATGAAAAACTACTAAAAGCTATTCTAGAAACAAACTCGTTGGTAAATCAACTTCAAAAACTTTCTTCCATGGACAAAAACCTCATTGTACAAACGAATAACCACGTAGAGCGACTCCAAACGTATTTGCCAAGTTTAGAACGAATTTTTCACGAACTGAAAATGTACAGAACTTCGTACCCCGATATACTTGAACCTCTATTGGCTAATATAGCTCAATTGAGGTATGGGTTCAATTTGAAATTATATTATGTCAAAAGGGAGTTGGTAAAGTACCAGCATAGAGTTCAGTCTAATATAGATCTTGAAAAGGAACTTGTTGAATTATTGGAAGTACCATGTTTGAATGAAAAAATAAAGAATTTTGATGAATATATTGATAGTTATAGTAATGGAAAAATTAATAGTTCCCTGGATTATATTTTAAACCATACAGAATCCTTTATAAGAGAAAAAGAAAAATTAAGGTATAGTTTTTTAAAACAGTCAAGTGAATTTTTAAAACTACTGTATGTTTTTTAGGTTATTATTGTGTGGTATTCAGGAATATTACAATTTAAATATAATAAAAGCAAAAAATAGTGGTGTTTTGGATAAGGAATCTGTGAATAAATTTAATGAATTAATAAGAGTTTTTATTAATTTGTGGAATAGACAGCAAGAGAAAGAAGAAAAAGAACAAAATGAAGCTGAGAATATTTACAAAATAAGGTAAGTAATGTGTTTTTTTCTATAATTATAGGTATAGTATTAAGCTTAAATCGGCCCCACGTTGGGCGCCAAGATTGCGGCGCCTTTAAAATTTGTAATTCAATAAATACAAAGTTTCTCATAGATGTCGGAAAGAAGAAATTTGACTCATTGTTTCATCTCTATGAACTCAACTAACTAGCGCAAGCTAGGATATTCTATAAATTTTAATTGTATTTTTTAGACATTTTGAATGATCTTAAACTATTAAGTATAAAGTATAATTGAAACCACTAATTTACTCCACTAATTTTGAGGTTCCGAATAAAGTAATAAACTCTTAATTACGATCATTTTCAGTGTCTAAAAAATACAATAAAATGAATAGAATAATATACAGCTTATGGTAGTCAGTTGTATCCATAAAGAGAGCCTAATAATTAGCTTATAAAACAAACTTTTTTCTTTCTAACCACAATTTAACTTTTCTTTTTTTATTTCAGAACAAAATGCGAGGATAAATCTGAAGAAGAACAAATCGATGAAGAATTAAACGACATTTTCAAGAACTATCATTCTCTGGACTTTGCCGATTTACAAACAAAACCTCTAGAAGAAGATTCGACGAACAAAAATATCGAAAATGTAAATATAGACTCCAAAATAATAACAGAAAATGACATTCAGTTCGTTATCAATCTTCATTCTATGCTGTTAAACGATTTTGTTGAAACTGAATGGATAAATGTTGAATTGAAACAAACACCTTTACCTAATTTGTTGATGCCATTAACTGTGAAGTTCAAACTAGCCAGATTGATCACTGATTCTTACTCGTCTAGCTTCAAGTATACCACAGATTCGAGTTTAGTCAGTAGTTTGAGTGTATTAGTGGAAAGTTCTGGATCTGATAGGTCACAAGGTCTGTGTTAGTCTTTTTTCATTTTGAATGAAACGGAAATATATATTAATCACCCTGTATAATTTACTTTTGTAATTTAGGCGTAGGAAACTTATCAACAAAAGCTATTTCCGGAGATTTCTACAGAGATTCAAACGTTGAGGAAGTTAAAGGGTGTCACCACGTTTTGATTGAACTAAAAGAAAAAATAAATGAACTTTTAGTGGACTGGCCTGATCAACCGACTCTGAACACTGTAAGAAATTTTAAATTTTCTTTTTTAAACATAACAATTTTTATTTAGTATATTTTTCACATTATTATTCATATTTTTTATTTGATACAGATTCTAACTGTGATTGACAGAATTCTCCATTTCGATATATCCAGTCCCATATCCAGATTCCTCACGGGTTTTGACATTTTGCTGGAAAAATGTCACGAATGGGAACAAGTAGCGCACTCTGGCGTCAGCCTGATACACTTTTCACCGAACTTAGTTCAACAAATCATCGGTTGGAGAAAAACTGAACTAAACAGATGGAAAGACTTGTTAAACAGCACATTTGAAGAGTAAGAGTAATAATTTATTGTATTTCATTCAATAATTGTGATTATTCTCATGTTTTAGTATGAAAAAGCCTTTAAAAAAGTGGTGGATCTACGTGTATAACTTAATGAACCAATACGTGCTTGAAAAGAAGGTTTCCGAGTCAGAACTCGTTGACATACTACAAAAATTCATCACAAAATCGACCTTAGTTGAATTTGAGGGTCGTCTGAGTATTCTCTACACTTTTCATCTGCACGCTGTATATCTAACCAAAACGAAATATACCGAGTCTTTGATAAATATCCTTTGGAACGTTTACAATTACTATAAACAGTTTTCGAACGTAGTGCTTCAGAAAATCAAGGATTTGAGAACTCCAATCGAGAAGAAGTTGAAGGATTATGTCAAAATTGTCAAATGGAAAGATGTCAGTTACTGGTCTATAAAAGAAACAGTCGATAAGAGTCATAAAACTCTGCATAAGTTTGTCAGAGAATACAAGGTAAGAAACAAAATAAAATTATTTTTTCTAGGACTGTCTCTCTGAAATTGTATATAAGATATTGCCTACAGTGGCAAAATCACTAATATACAGGGTGCCTCTTAAGTTTATATTTCATTATTTTAAATTTATTTTTAAAAAAATGGAAAATAATCCCACTTCTGATATTAAAAATTATATTATATTATTAATAATAACCTGTCAATTTATGAAATAATGATTATGTTTATGTTAATAGCGACAAGACAGGTGGTAACTACACTAATAGATACTATTTTAAATTATAACTCAATATTTTTTGTTTGAAATTTTAGGAAGTGTTATTACAGCCAGTAGTGTCATATTTATGCAACCCAACTTCCACAGACATCTCAATGGAGACTGTGGGAATTTGGGACAGACCACAAAGACAAAATCCCAAATCTTACCATTACACACTGGATGCTGATTCTTACTTGATCAAATCCCCCGGCAAGGACATTCCATATGTTACAACAGCACGAAAAATATCGAAAGAAACTATATTGGCTACTGAATACCCTGAATTGGTTAAATCATTGGACGGTTTTGTGACAGATGTCATAGAAACTAGTTCGCATCTTAGGAATTTAGAGGTATGTTATGAAATTTACTTATAATTCATTCTATCTATTGTAATAATTTTTTAAATGTGGATATTTTGTTCATCAGGTTGACAGCACTTTGCCTAAAGAAAAGCAAGTATCCCAGGCAAAAAGTATTTTACAACAAAAACACAGAGCTCTAACAGAACTCTTCCAAAATCTGTCTAAAATGGGACTGTCTTATAAGAGAGGTATCTTAAATACTAAACTAAAGAAATCTACAGAGTGTTTTACGATTAAACCCATTAATTTGTCGGCTAGTTTCGCACATTTA